AACGATATTATTAAATTCCTCAAAATTTTCACAGAATTGAATCATTGTTGAAGCTCGTATAAACTAGAGAAATAAGTGTTACAGAATGTATAAGCTGAACCTGATTGGCAAACTACTGGTCAGAATTCTGATGACTTGAACTCAGTGGGTCAGTATCTAGATGAGTGACCATTTGGGAATACCATGCGTTGTAATGGATAATGGCTCGGAATTGTTAATCGGAGAGCCAAGTTTCAATTCATATTGGGTTTGGGAAAGGTAAGCATCCACTTCTTCTCTCCCCACCTATCTATGGGGTAATTAGTAAGACTTGTACCACTAAACCATTCTTAACACTAGACGAATATTATCTCAATAGAAGATTCTTAAAATCCAAGAATATTTTCTGTCTTTAAAAGGCCTAAAAAAGAGTTGATAAGCCGTAAAAAATGAATCAATCAATCCTATGTGGAGATAATGTGACATAAAAGAAAAGACAACGCGTTTTATCTTTTTATGGAGTCGGAGTAAGAGATACACTGGTGTGTAAGGGAAGTGCGTTGTAATTTTAACGAAGTGATAATAAAATGTATTGTTAGTAATTTTACTATAGAAATATATTTTTTTAGTATTTCACTGATTGTCATTTTGCTATAAAAAAAAATCTATAGATTATTTTATTATAAAAATATACTGTTGATTATTGTTTTGCAGGTCACCATTTACCCATAGCTGGGAGCATAACAGGTTTTACCACGCCGGTTCAGGTTGGACCTGAGAACAACAGCAATTAAGAGATGGTCCTACGCTCCTCAAAACCTCCAATCGCCTGATCAGAGGCCTCGCTGCCGTTTGTAGTTTATCGTCATACCCAGGACGAGCCGCTTGGGAATACCAGGTGCTCTAAGCTTGAACATGCAGGTGGTTACAATCCTCGTTGGATGTGTTATATTCACTTACGCGCAAATACTCTTAATAAAGGTAGGAATCCACCTCTTCTCCTCCATCTATAGGTTAATTAGTAAAACTTGTATCACCAAACCATTATTATCTAAAATACAATTCTCACAATCTATAAATATTTTCTGGCTTTAAATAAAGTAATCAATCATGCCCCTTTCTGACTCATATGGCTGATGCTAACCGCCAGGAGAATGATTCATTGCGCGTTCTCGAGTTAACATTCTCTGCTGACATGAAGTGGAAAGGATCTATTGCTCGGTCTGTTGCTAAGAAAATGGGTTCACTGTGTCGTAATAGATATTTTTCTCTCTAGAATCTAACTTACGTAGTTGTAAGTCTACCAATCGTCATTATTAGCTCAAATAAATTTTTACCATTATTATCTAAAAAAAATAAAATTCTTACAATCTAAAAATATTTTCTGGCTTTAAATAACCTGCAAATAACCTGATAAACTGTAAAAAATGAATCAATCAAAATCGAACTAGGTGAGATGGTTTGAACCTCGTGAGAGTGAAATTATGACAGGGATTGCATTTATTTTTTTTTATATGTAAGACGAAAAAGACGCGAAGACACTCAGACGACTGAAAGAATTAGAAGGGTCAAAGTGACTCTCGCATCCAGATTACTTAGTGAGGCAAGGCAGTACGTGGCGATTAAATTTTAGCCAACCAATTGACATGAAGCCTCTCAGTCATTTCCTTCTCCCTCCCGCTTCTCCATAGAAACAGTGCTACAAGTACAGACCCTCATAAGATAAAGTGAGATTTTAATTTTTTCAAAAATGAAAGAAAATCATTCATAGTTGAAGCAGTCTATAATGCAGTGTTGGGGGTCTGAGAACTTACGTCAGAGACGACACAAGACGCTGTCATAACACGGCACGTGAACACTTTGAAGTAGATAGAAGGGTTTTACTTCCATTTAAAACGCGCCGATATGCAACCGAATATTTGAGTTCGTCTCAAATTTCACCCGTTAAATCCGTCTGTTTAGTTATGGCAAATAATCAATAAAGGAGTAAAAATTTAGTCAACTTTTCTTTTTATTCATTCATTGTTGATTTTTCACATCAAAAGTATCTGATACCTTTTACTGAACATCAAGGGACAACAAACCTCCTTAAGGCTTCAACATTTTCCTCAGCATTCATTAACAGTTAGGTTTCAACTGTTTTACGTATAAAGCTTCAAGAATTTTTAATTTTCGTTTATTGTTTTCATGTTTAAGAATAGTTCTTAGCAAAAGAAATTGCTCAAGATACGAACTCCGAATTCAAGCAAGTGCACTAAATTTAGATATGTAAAAAGTATTTTAACAAAGGACGGAAAATGTGACACCGAAATCCGAAGCAGCATTGGAATAGTAAAAGTTGCCTTCCAAAAGCTAAACAAAGTATTAAAAAACAGGAAAAATTAATTAGAAAAAAAGTAAAGAGTACTAAATTGTTATGTAATATCAGTCCTACAATAATCTCCTCACAGATGAAAAAGAGACTAGTCAACAGAAATCTGGTTCTACAGAAGGAAGCTGTGCATTCCATGGAGTAACGTATGTGTATAAAGGAAGTTTTACGGAAAATGGAAACAAAAATGACTCTTATACTTAAATTCAGCATATAATGAAGATAGAGGGCTTGGAGAATTTGACACTCACGCGGTATAATGAAGGCAAGATGGTCAAAGGAAAGCAGTGAATAGCCTCACCTAACGAGTTTGTATAAATGGTTGACAGAACAGGGATTCGGGGAGATAACAAAAGACAAGACTTAGAAAGATGTAAAAAAAAAAAAAACAGGAAATTGTGGAGAGTCATGAACGCCGACGTTCTGAAGAGGCACGGCAGATAGAAGAAGAATTATATTTAAAAAAATGAAAAAATTCACTCTCAACACTTCACGTTCAACTTTTGGAATTGGGTATACTGAGAACTTAAAATATTCGTCCATTAGTCTGACTATTACTATATTTATCTATTTATCTCTCTCTCTCTCTCTCTCTACACACACACACACACACACATATATATTATTTTTATTATAAGAGGTTAAACATTTTTAAATAACCACACAAAAAGCTTTCATGTTTCACTACTATGATTGTACTTCCTCAGGCGATGGTAGATAACTGGTTATAAAATGATTTCTTTAAAAGAGGTAATGATTTGTTTTTAAATTTCCCTAAAATATCATTTTATAACCAGTTACCTGAGGAAGTACAACCATGGTATTGAAACATGAAAGCTTTTGTGTAGCGATTTCAGAATATTTTTATTATAATCTCTTATAATAAAAAATATAATAAAAATATTTTTTTAAAAGTAAATGCTTCGAACTGTGGATTTTTAATCTATTTGTTCTTTCTCTGAGATATATATATATATATATATATATATATATATATATGGTGCGATGGATAAATTGTCGTCTAAATTACGCAAAAATGAAAATAACACTGATATCTCATTTTAATAGATATATTTACCACAATTACACAAAAATATCTTGGAATACTAAAGAGTAAATTTACTCAACAAATTACGGAGTTATTTTATTATCAGAGTGAGCTTTCCGAGCTGCCGTACATTCGTAATCATCATTACACTCGTACAACTCTTTTTGAATCTTCTGAACTGTCTTCAGATTGACGCCCAAACACTCTGAAATGTCTGTATTGGAGCTTCCGACGCGAATGCCAAGCAATCCAGCATGCAGTTTCCAAATTTTTGGTAGAGCAAATTGCGTCATAATGGTCATTTTCTCACAGACTCTCATGTATTGTACAGGCGACAAAATCAATAACAAACGCGCATGCGCGAAATTAAAAATATAAAATGACGACAACTTATCCATCGCAACCTATATATATATATATATATATATATATATGTAAAATATATATACATAAAATGTGTATATTTAGGCAAAATATCTTCATTGAAGCATGTTTCATTAAATAATAAACATATTATGCCTATTTATTTTCATAATAACCCTTTCTAGTTCTCCAATTATCTTCTTGATGTTAAGTTGAAATTCATCAAGGAAGGCGCCGTATTTTTTAACCCAAGTACTTTCGATCTCCTTTGAGATATCAGTGAGATATATATATACATATATATAAAATGTATATTTAGGCAGAATATCTTCATTCAAGCATGTCTCATTATGTTTATTTATTTTCATAGTAATCCTTTTTAGTTTTCTAATTATCTTCTTGATGTTAAGTTGAAATTCATTAAGGAAGGCGCCGTACTTTTGTTTTTCCCCTTGCACCGGGAACGCTTATTTACAAAACATCGTAACCACAACGGTTAATTTTTTAATAATTATAGCAGAGCGCGTTCGCGCATGTTTGCAAAATCACTATCACACCGATTACAGTTACATTAAGATTGTCTTTGCAATTCACTCATGAGGATGATCTCGGAGGAAATCGAAAGTACTTGGATTAACGATAATAATATGGCGCCTTCTTTGATGAATTTCAACTTAACACCAAGAAGATAATTAGGTAATTAGAAAGGCTTTATTATAAAATAAATAGACATAATATGTTTAAATTATTTAATGAAACATGCTTGAATACACTACACACACACACACATATATATATGTATGTATATATGTATGCATGTATATACGGGAAAAAGTAAAATTATACAGAAAGTGGTTTGTCTTTTAAAAGCTTGTAAAGAAACCGTTGTACCAGCTTTGACAGGGTTTTTATTTTAAAACATTTCTTAATTATTCATTGCACTGAGAAGAAACGATTAGACAATGAAAATATTTTGACCGGGCTGGCATTAAGATTGACGGTCAAAGAACGAATAAAAACGGAACAAAGAAAACGTTTATGTGGAAATGTTTCAAATTCCGCCATTGTCGAAAATATAGGAATAACGAAATAATCAAAGATTAAGATAAATGTCGTATTTTTCGGTGTAAAGGAGCATGGGGGGCAATAAACTGTGTTCGTCTGTTATTTATCGAATGTTATGAATGCTATGAATTTAGACTCTTGTACACGTTGTGGTTTCTCGCGGTGAAAATGGTTCTAAAGATTAGTGTGAAAGGAACAATGAAATGTGAGGAAGAAAGAAAGAAAGAATAAATATAGACTTGGAATGTAAGAAAGAAAGTCTGTAATAAAAAGAAAGAAAGAAAGAAAGAAAGAAGAAAGAAAGAAAGAAAGAAAGAAGAAAGATAAGAAAGAAAGAAAGAAGAAAGATAGAAAGAAAGAAGAAGAAAGATAGAAAGAAGAAAGATAGAAAGAAAGAAGAAAAAAAGAAAGATAGAAAGAAAGAAGAAAAAAAGAAAGATAGAAAGAAAGAAGAAAAAAAGAAAGATAGAAAGAAAGAAGAAAAAAAGAAAGAAAAAAGAAAGAAGAAAAAAAGAAAGAAAAAAGAAAGAAGAAAAAAAGAAAGAAAAAAGAAAGATAGAAAGAAAGACTAGAATGAAATATAAGAAAGAAAGAAACGGAATTAAGTTATAAAATGAATGTAAGAAAGAAAAATGAAAGAAAGAAGGAAATAAAGACTAGAATGAAATGTAAGAAAGAAAGAAAGACTACAATGAAGTTTATGAAAGAAAGAAAGAAAGAAAGAGTAAAGAAAATAAAAAGAAAGAGAAAAAGAACGGAAGTAAGTGTACAGAAGAAAGAAAGAATAAGAGGAAAAAGAAAAGTTAAAGAAGGAAATAAAGAGTATGAAAGAAAAAAGAAAGAAAACTCGAAGAAGAAATATAACGAAAGAAAAAAAATGAAAGATGTATAGAAAAAAAAAAAAAAAAGAAAAAAAAAAAAAAGAAAAGAAATTGAATTAAATTATAAAGAAAGAAAAAAGAAAATTTTCTTTTTAAAAAAAAAAAGAAAAAGCAAATAAAAAAGAATAAAGAAAGACGGATTAAAGAAAGAAAGAAAGAAAGAATAAGAATTTAAAAATGAAAGAAAAATGAAATTCTAAAAAGAAAATCAGTTTTGTATAGAATGAAAAAAAAAGAAAATACAATTTTTTTAAAAAAAGAAATCCCAGAAATGAAAAAAGAAAAAAAAAAAAAAAAAAAAAAAAAGAAAAAAAAAAAAGAAAGAAAAGAAAAAAAAAGAAAAAAGAAAGAAAAAAAAAAAGAAAAAAAAAAGAGTATGAAAAAAAAAAGAAAAAGAAAAAAAAAAAAAGAAAGAAAAAAAGACAACGAAAGAAAGAAAGAAAGAAAAAAAAAAAAGAAAAAAAAAAAAAAAAAAAAAAAAGAAAGAAAATTGAAAGAAAAAAAAAAAAGTGGGGAAAAGAAAAAAAAAAAAAAAAAGAAAGAAAGAAAGAAAAGAAAAAAAAGAATAAAGAAAAAAAAAAAAAAAAAGAAAAAGAAAGAAAAAAGAAAAAAGAAAGAAAAAAAAAAAAAAAAGAAAGAAAGAAAGAAAAAAAAAAAAAGAAAGAAAAAAAGAAAAAAGAAAGAATTCTAAAGAAAAAAAATGGAAGCCATTATTTCTGTGAAAAAAAAAAGAAAGAAAAAAAAAAAAAATTAAAGAAAGAAAAAAAAAAAAAAATAAAGAAAAAAAAAAAAAAAAAAAGAAAAAAAAAAAAAAAAAAAAAAAAGAAAAAAAAAAAAAAAAAAAAGAAAAAAAAAAAGAAAAAAGAAATTTTGAAGAAAAAAAAAAAAAAAAAGAAATAAAGAAAGAAAAAAAAAGAAATAAAGAAAGAAAAAAAAAAAAAAAAAGAAAGAAAAAAAAAAGAAACAAAGGAAACAAACGTCAAAAATATCCTACAATAGGTAAAATGATTTTGTTGAATAGGAAACGTAGAATAGAAACGATCTTTTCCGCCGGTTTAAAGTGCGCATGTTCCAAGCTCAACGTTTGTGACTGTCAGGAACATCACTTGTCAAATTCCTGACGGACATCAATCACATTTGGCAAAAGCGCAGTCTTTTAAAATAGCAACCGTACACAACATATGCATTCACCGATCCAATGATATATGGTGGGAGCTAAAACAGTCATCTCTTGATTTATTGCTTTTATAAAAAGCACCAAACAAATAACAATTCAATCAATTTACTATAATTAAAATAAATATAACTAAAAATCAATTTCGAAAAAAAGAAAACAGTAGTGAACTGTTTTTCAATAACGGTCCTCTTAATTGACAGAGAATACTAGACAAACTCCTCAAAGAAAAAAAATAGATTTGAGGCAATAGAAATCTAGTTCTACAGAAAGATGCTGAGAATTCAATCAATATGTGAGCAACGACAAAGTTTTAGGATAAATGGAAAGAAAAACGACACCTACTTAGAATAAAAAAAGACACCCGAAATGAGAAAAAGGGCTTGGAGAATTTGACACTCAGAGGGCAATTTGAGGTCAAGAGGGACAGAGAAAAGCAACGAATAACCCCTGCTAACGAGTTTGGGTAAATAGTTGACAGAACAGACATTAGGGGACATAGCAAAAAGACAAATATTGCCAAGAGCTACAAAGGACAGGAAGTTGTGGAGAACAGTGATCACCCACGCCCTGAAGGGACACGGCGCATAAAAGAAGATAAATATTTTATACGACCACCTCTGTCCCAGAATAGTTGTTGCTATTACTGTCAGAAATATATAGTCACATATGTCACAACTTTTATGGGACAGGAGTAGTGATATTTCTTAAATTACTACTTTTTAAAAAATACTAATATTCATCCAATACAAGGCTCAAGCGCCACTCAAAGTAGAGGGTTACTGTGTAGTGTTGCCTGAGAGGAAGAATAAATATAACTAAAAATCAATTTGAAAACAAAGAAAACAATAGTGAACTCTTATGCAATAACGGTTCTCTACCATATATGTCAGAGAATGCTAGACAAATTCCTCAAAATTAAAGAAGAAACTTGAGGCAATAGAAATCTGGTTCTACAGAAGGATGCTGAGAACGTGCGAGCAACGATAAAGTTTTAAAGAAAATGAAAAGAAAAAGGATACCTACTTAGAATCAAAAAGGAATAACTGAAATTTTAGAAAACTTAGTGACGAAAGAGGGTTTAGAGAATTTGACACTCACAGGACATTGAAACTGACACAGGCATGTGTCATAACTTTTATGGGACAGTAATAGTGATATTTTTTAAATAACTACTTTTTAAAAATACTAATGTTCATCCTATACAAGGCGCAAGAGCCATTCAAAGTAGAGGGTTACTGTGTAGTGTTGTATGAGCGCAAGAAGTGAAATTCATGAGGTTATGCAAAAAAGATAATAGACTTAATGCCTAGACTTGAAGAGGCCAAGATTATTGCGATTGGGAAAGCATCCCCCCGGGAGTCCGTTCAACAATACAGCCGTTCTTGAGGAGAAGCTGTCCAAAATGAAACTTCCTTCTTACTAATGGAATACAAAAGGGATGTGGGATGAGTTACCCTTGTGTATGCGGCATGGCGGCTCCCAGTTGCAAAAGTCAGTGGGTGGGTGGGACTAAGAAATGTAGCTCGTCGGAACACATGCCATCTGTTCCAGAACAGTTGTTACACTTAATGTATGAAATATGTAGGCATGTGTCACAACTTTTATGGGACAGTAGTAGTGATATATTTTTAAATGAATATTTCATTGGAAACAAAGGAAAAAGTACTGAACTCCGATATGGCAGTGAATGCTGGACAGTCTCCCCAGAGATGAAGAAGAGACATGAGTTAACAGAAATATGGTTCTACAGAAGGATGCTGAGAATACCATGGATTGAACATGTGTGTAACGATTCAGTTTTAAAGAAAACGGAAACATAAAAGACGTTGCATCAGAAAAATTGAAATTTCTAGAGCACATAATGAGGAAAGAGGGTTTAGAAAATTTGACACTCACAGGACATATTGAAGGCAAAAGCATAACCTTCCTTACGAGCTGGTGTAAATGGTTGGCAGAAAAGGGGCTAAGAGATAAATATCTAGGAAATTGTTTTAACAAAGGATGGAAAATACGATACAGAAATGCGAAGACGCATTGCGATAGCGAAAGTTGCATTCTAAAAGCTAAGCAAAGTATTAAGAAACAGGAAAATTTCGTTATGAACAAAGAAAAGAGTACTTAACTGTTTATGCAATATCGGTACTCCTATATAGCAACGAATGCTGGACAAACTCTTCACAGATGGAGAAGAAACTTAAGGCAACAGAAATGTGGTTCTACAGAAGGATGCTGAGGGTACCATGGACCTAACACGTGAGCGAAGACGAAGTTTTAGAGAATAACGTGGAAAGAAGGTATGGAAAGTTTGACACTCACATCACATATTGAAGATAAAAGGGACAGAAAAAAGCAACGCATAATCTACCTAACGAACCTATGTAAATGTTTGGCAGAACAGGGAGTAGAAGATATAGCAAAAAGACAAAATTTACTAAAGGCTACAAAAGACAAGAATTTGTGGAGAGCCGTAATCGACAACGTCCTGAAAGAAACAGCGCACAGAGAAGAAGAAAATTAGTCGGAATACAAGATGGTCCGAAAATCTTGTCACCCTCTACCAAAAAGTAATGACAATAGAACAACAACTAATAGAGTAATACAAAGCACATGTACTGAATTCAGTTTATTCATTTTCATTGACGCTGTTACACATCGAGAAGCATCTCTTCCAAACAGTAGGAGCATGTGTCAATCATCTGAAGGAGAAAATTAGATTATCAAGAGTGACAAGACTTTCGGACCACCTTGTATATGACTTCACTATGAATCTAGCTTGTTTATTTCTTTAGTAAGAACAGTATAATCAGGCACTATACATGTAAAAAAGACTGAATCCTCATTATCTATATGTTTCGTTTAATCATTTCATCCCAAGCAAGGCAATAAAGTCACTAAGACTCAAGATGAGAAAATATATTACTAAGGAGAGAATACTATAAAAGAACAAGAATTAAGAAGACAGAAGATAATGATTGACATTGCGCTTAAATTTTTGAAGATCAAAGTTGACAGGGAGGCAAGAAGCTGGAAGAGAGTTCCACAAGCGAGAAGTGCGATAGAAGAAACTGTTAGCATAGAACTTACAGTTACATCTAGCCATTTCAACTGTGATCGAGTACTGCGCTTAAATTCGGAAAGTATAAATATCATCGAGGAAAATTCACCAGAACAATTGACATGTAAATGTTTACAGAAAAGTTGAAGGGAAGCTACGTTACGTCAGTGGAAAAGCCAAAATGCCAGGTCAGGACCAACAACATTGCAGATTCTTTGGATTTTATCAAAAATCACTAAATATATTACAGGACCAGATGTAGCAGCAGTACCAGATCTAGCAACAGGGCCAGATGTAGCAGCAATATTCAAGCAAGGAAGAATAGTAGTTTTATAAATATCTAGGATAGATGTAAATTTACAGAGCATTAATATTATAAATTGATTAATTTAATTACAAAATTAAATTCGTAGCATTTATCTTCCATTTTTGAAACATGGTTAGAACCGTGTAGCGAAAAAAACATTTTAAATAAATAAATTTATAATATAATATATATATATATATATATATATATATATATATATATATATATATATATTTATATATATATATTTATATATATATATATATTTATATCTAATTGTAGTGATATAGAAAAATGTTTTGCTCGTAAATTCTTCTTAAATTCTACTCTTGAAGTATTTTTGCCTGACTTTTCCACTAAGTCTCTATAACTCCGTCTTTGGTTCCTGCTATCATTTCTAAATTGTGAGCCTGATGTTATCCCTGAAATAGTCCTTAAGGACTCCTGAACTGTCTCCTGATCTCTCTAAACTCTACAATAATTCCCTTGCTGCTTACTTTCCTGCTTCTTGCGTTCCTGCTTGTTGGATATCATCTTCTATAGTTTTAGTCTTTAAGAACTCAGACGAACCATCTAATTCTTCTGAACTATCGACCCCTATTAGCTTTCTACCTTATTTGGCAATATACAAGAGGCTCTAATTAACACTGAACTAGTTAAGCATCTCACATCGCAGGGTCTTCTTTCAGATAAACAATATGGATTTCGCTTCTCTAGGTCAACTGCTGATGTGTTAACGATTATTGCTGCAAGGGCATCAAGCTTTAGATAAAAATGGTGGATCTCGAGCTGTTGCTTTGGATATCTCGATGGCATTTGTCAGCGTTTGGCATACTTATATTCTTCGCAAATTGAAAGGTTATGGTATTTCTAAAGGAATTTTCAGCCTTTATCATCAAATTGCGAAATGAATCTTGTCTTGAATGGCCATTCTGCTAGATCTTTTTTCGATAAATACAGGTGTTCGCCAGGGCTCTATCCTTGGAGCGATGTTGTTTCTAATTTTCATCAATGATCTTGATATCATCAGTTCTTAACTCGGTGTCTACACAGAACTATTTATACCTGTCTTAATAGTAGGTCTGATCGATTTGATAAGGTCAAACTAGCAGCTAAAGAATGATCTACAAACTGTTGTTAAATGGGGC